ATGGCGAGAACCAGCCAGGGGTCCCTGCTAAAGGAAGTCTTGAAGAAATTCTCGGTTGATAAGTTCAACGGCACGGGATATGATGACTGTGCGTGGAAGATGCAGCTATAATTTAGGCAAGTGGGACTGCTCAAGTTGATGAGCGGAAAGGAAGGAAGGCAAGCGGATACAGCCTTGCAAGAAGAATGGGATGAAAGAGCGTCAGTGGGGTACTACCTACTTTCACAAAACTTGGAGTTGAATCAGCGGGCGCACATCATGCACCTGCTCGAGGAAGCGGAATGTGGACCAAAAGCATGGGCTGTGCTCAAGGACCTGCACGCCCCTACATCAATTACGGCTACATTAATGCTGGAGCGGGAGCTGTCCTCATTGCGAGTGAGTGAAGGAGAGCCGCTACAACCTGTTCTTGACAGGGTGCGAGACACGTACGCGAAGCTGACTATGGCCGAAGTTGTGTATCCGGAACAAGCGAAGTGTTTGAAAATGTTGTCGCTGTTACCCGAATCATAGCTGCAGTTTACGAGTGGGTTGAGCCTCCCACAGAACCAGGGGCTGTGGACTCTCGAATGGGTGAGGACCAAGAGCCTGGAGGAGGATTATCGAAGGCGTCAGATGAACGATCTGGATGACGGCAACAGTGGCTACGGCATGCAGGGAAGCAGTTGGAAAAACAGGCGTAACGGGTCTAAGAGCATGCGTGGTGATAATCGTTCTGGCAACATGGCAAGACAATGGGAGTCTGATGAAGAAAAACCAGGAAGCGAACATGACGGGTTCATTGGGAACAGGGACAGTGCGCGCAATCACGAGAGCTGGAATAGTGAAGCTGCACGGCACGGTTGCTATAGGGCAGGATTTGGAGGTTTCAGGGGAAACTGCTGGTACTGTCAAAAGCCGGGACACACTTGGGTTCAGTGTCACAAACGGCCAGATTGGTGGAGCCCAAGTTATCTGAACAATGACAGGGACGAAGGCGAGAAGAATGGCATCAACATGGTAGCGGATTGTGCATGAGAACTGAATCACTATGAAGGAAGAGCAGCAGGGCGGTTCTTTCATGTAACGGCGGGAAAGACAACACGTGTGGGAGGAGCACGAAAGGAAGCTGGACGACGTACTTGGATATTGGACACTGGAGCCGCTTGGTCAATGACACCGTGTGCGGAACTACCTTCTCGCAGGCTGCTAGCACACAGACCCACTCCTCCTTCCTTCATCCAGTGGATGTCTGAACCAACGCTGGGTCCTTCAAGACACACTTTAAGAGACCTGTGACTTTCGGGGAGGCCGCTGAGGGGAGCAATAGAGAAGAGAACGTCAGTACGAATTCCAGCGAGATGCAATTCAACCAACTGCTCCAAAGTAAGTACACCACTCCTTATATCGTTAATGTTGTGAACCTTTTTCACCATCAGATTCCACCTTCCCATGCTATCCTGTCGCGGCGTCACATAGTCGTCGTGGTACCATGGAATATATTGTCCTTCGCAATAACCGCAGGTGAGGCTTGGGAAGTGCAGCAGGAATTTCCTTCCCGGCAGCGACGTAAACTCCAGAGAGTGGAGCCAGCGATAGGTGACTGGAGCATGCGGGACAACCAGCCCACGGATCCGGTTCGTGTCCATGCCAGACACCGAGTCAGCCATCCTGTGGAAAACCCTCTTGAGCATTGTCGCCTCAACCAGCATGCGGCGCACCATTACGGCGATATCTCTGCAGGGACCGATTTCATCACCACTTTGACTGGATAGGGGTTGAGCGTACGTTCTCTAAGGAAACATGCATCCTCTGGGTACTACCAGGGCAACTGCAAGAAGTTGTCATCAGCACACTCCTGTTAAATGACTTGTCCACGAACGAATTCAGCTTCCATGACATTATCAAATGTCACCAGCCTGCCAAACTTCTGGCGGGAGAGGTAGTCGTCTGCAGCTGCTGAAACTTCGCCGTCCGAATTGCATGAGGCTAGAGGTCATCCTTCCACAAATCCAGCATTGTCGCGATTGTAGCTTTCGTTCGCGGGACTTCCGCATTTATGTTAAATGGGACGAGAAGCATTAGCGACACTTAAGTCTGTGCAACGACAGCGTTAGCGACGAACCGATCAAACATCTCGTCCAGGTCATTGCTGACGTAGCCATCCCCATCCTCTTCAGGGTCTAGTTCGGAGACGGCTGCTTTGTTGTCAGATCCGTCTTTGCTGTTGTCATTGGCATTGCTGCTGCCACCCACCTCAGTCTCTTCACCTTTCTCTTTCCCATTCTCATATCCATTGTTCTGCAGCATCGTGTTCCCTTTTATTGTTATTACGCGCCTCTAGTCGCGGTGCATTGCGAATGGTTACTTTAGAAGCATTCACATGTCATGGCCATATGAGATAAACATTGCATTCGTTGCCACTCAAACTGAGTGTCTTCCTACACTTCACGAATATCTTTGGTTATACACCAACGGAAGCTATGTATGTACTCCCTGCTATCTTCTAAGCCCTCGATGAGGATGGTCACTGGCCTCATTCTCTTCCATAACTGTATGCGCAGGCGCTTGACAGCAGGAGACGAGTCCCGCGACGGACAGCATTCCCCGCTATACCCCTTACACACGTCTCTGCCGCGTTCCCCCCTGTTGTTCCGTGTCTAGTGCCATAGCATGCGTTTGTGAGTTACGGGTGTTGAAATAGTAGGCATAGCTAGGACTAGGAGCTTAGGGTTAAACCTAGGCATGAGAGAGATGTCCAAGCTGGTTGAACTATAGAATGACAAGTACAAATAGAGGAGAAGCATGCAAGGAGTGGTGCACCACCACACAGGACAACTGTGGGACTACACTACAGCTAGAACTACATGCACTTAAACAAAATATATATAAAATATATTCTGACACACCCCCTAAGTGCATGCAGAAATATCGATGTGCAGAACACCCCCTGAAGTGGTACACCCTGCAGGGCGCAGCAGAAGAAGAGGCGAAGTGAGGAAGGGGGAGGAGGAACTGTGAGAGGAGTGGAGATAGGAGGCGACGGGTGAAGCCGCAGACACACGGGCAACAGGAGGGGCGCGCACGGTGGCTACCGGAGCAAGGGCCCCGGACTACAGGAGTAACTGGCTCCGCGGCTAAGACGAGCGGCAGGAGCAACGGACCCACGGGCGACTGGCGCAGCGACTGGCTCGCTGGGCTACCGGAGCAAGGGCCCCGGACTACTGGCGCTGCTGACGTCACGACGGCTACCTCCGCTCAACCTCCCCCAACTGTCCCACACCCCTTTTCACACACCCCCTGCTGCACCCCTAGCGCCAATCCCACGGCACCCCCATAGCGCCACGCCCTCGGCTCCCACACACCCACCCCCCTCAGCGGCAGCTGCAGCTGTGGGAGAGAGGAGGAGGAGGAGGAGCAAGGGACGACTCACACACCCGCCACCCCCATACCCTCCACCCCATGGCTGCACGTGCAGCAGGGAGAGGAAGGAGAAGGGGGGGGGGCGGGAAAGAAGCTGCCCCGCGGCGCACGAGGGCAAGGGACGGCGCGCGGGACCACAGGGCAGCGCGCGCGGGTCCCCTGGGGCGACGCGCGGGTCGACGGGGGCTGCGCGCGGGTCCACAGGGCAGCGCGCACGGGTCTCCTGGGACGACTCGCGGGTCAACGGGGGCAGCGCGCGGGTCAACGGGGCAGCGCGCGCGGGTCCCCTGGGGCGACTCGCGGGTCGACGGGGGCAGCGCGCCGAGCAGAAAACCGCCGCGCGCCCTGGGCGCGCGACGTGCATAAAACCGCCGCGCGCCCGGGGCGCGTGGCGGGCAGAAAACGTCGCGTGCCCGGGGCGCGCGATAGGCAGGAAAATCGTCACGTGCCCGGGGCGCGCGACTGAAAGAACAGCAGCGGAAGTGAACGGTGGGCCCATGAGGGGAAAACGTCCCGAGGAACGAACAGCTCTTAATACCATGCTGAAATAGTAGGCATAGCTAGGACTAGGAGCTTAGGGTTTAACCTAGGCATGAGAGAGATGTCCAAGCAAGAAGGTGGTTGAACAATAGAATGACAAGTACAAATAGAGGAGAAGCATGCAAGGAGTGGTCCACCACCACACAAGACAACTATGGGACTACACTACAGCTAGAACTACATGCACTTATACAAAATATATATAAAATATATTCTTTGACAACGGGTTGCCAGAGTGCAACCCGGGACCACTTCGAACTTCAAATTGGACCCAGTGGATCAAATCATGCTCGCTACTCCGCTATGACCTTCTCTTCGTGGCCCTGTTGTAGTGGGACAGTTCGTCTTCTCCACTCCCCCCATGCTCAAAGCCTGAGGGGCCGTTGACCTGTCGCACAATTGCCCAATTAAAATGGACAGTTTCCATTCCATTCAAAGTGCAGATGCGAACAAACAAACCCACCAACGCCCTTGTTTGCATTGCACATCTACCCCCGTTGTCCAATCAGGTTTTTTCTTCTGGTCTGGCTCACAAAATGCGCGACGGACAAATAAATAGTAAGCACGTTATTGTCGTATCCAAAGCACCCTCACTTCTCTCAACAACGCTTTCAGGGCCTCCCTTCACAATTTTTCCTGCTCGCTTTAAACCCCCCTCTGGTCTTTTATCTGGAGAATTATGGTAGCACCATGGAGACTACAGATTAGTGCAAGCTGCTTGCAATTTTACATTGGCAAAGGAGACTCTTCATATTCGCGCTGTTCTAGCATGTAACCCCGAGTTTACTGAACCACCATCGTGTTTCATCGTATGCGGAATCGCCCTCCACAATTCCCCCTTAGCGGTTATGAAGTTACCTCGGGGTATGATTCAGAGTGAAACATGGTAGTTGGACGTCACTTGAAATTACGATGGCACGCAAATAGACTTCTCTGCTACAGTTCCAGAGCAAGGCCTACCATTGTACTCATAAAAACGTGTGATTCCTTTTGAGGTAGCCCCACCGTAGAAGCTGTAAGCAGCTGAGCACGCCATTGACCGCTGCACAGGCTTGGCCCTACCCTTCTTGCATAAACCCATCGTGAACGACCAATACTCTGCCCTGAGGCAAACCTGGAGCCGTAGGATGCATGGGATGGGACAGAGGTTCATAAATTGATAAGGGCATCGGAGAAACTGGAGTAGACTAACAAGGATTGCAGAATAGACGCAAAGGTGATAAGGCACGACCCCTCAGCCCTCACAATCCTCACCTGCACACCAATATTGCTGCCGATAGCGGAGGCAGAGGAAGGGATGGTGTTGGAGCAAGTGAGGCCGGGATTGTTGCGGTACAGCGCAGCCCATGGATTCTCACTGGCACCCCCTTGTGAATTGTCATTGGGATTGGCTTCCGCAGGGGGCACGCTCTTGCTGGTCCTTTGAAGCAGCTGCTCGCACGTGTCTCGAGGTGTGAGCGTGCCGTATCTCACACACTCAGGCACGGTGAATGCAAAGGAAGCACTGCGCTCGACGCACACAGAGCGGCCCGCCTTGATGGGCTTGGAGCAGTCAAGGCCGGGGTTGAGAGTTGTGAGACTTCCGTAATTGAAGTTGAGCGATGTGCTGATGGATGCACAGGTGTCCCCCTGGAGGGTTGAACAGAGGCAGGGAAAGTGATGACTGATGCTTGTGATGTGCTTAGTGATATTTTCCGGGTGATTGGGATGTGCAGGGAAGTTGTCTATGCGAGTTGGTCGAGTGCATGTTGTGGTGTGGGCAAGAAAGCAGCAGGTCTCACATTGAGGGAGTAGAAGAAAGCAGTGCATGGTGTGGCAGGAGTATTAGCCAGCTGAAGGACACTTCCCTTGGGCAATGGCTGGCTGCAGTCAATGCCCTGCAAAGGGGAAACACGTGCATGAATGAGAACTCAGTACCACACAGGGAAGGCCTCCTATCCTCACTAGGCCCGGGAGAGTAAGGTTCTCACACCTCAGTATTCAATACAGCATCTAGGTGTCGTCCTGTGAATGAAAGAGTGGAGAGTATCTGTTCGTTGATGTAAGGGTGAAAGGATGGAAATACAAAGCTGAATGACGGCTCATAACTCGAACACCCTTTTCACTCACTCTGTTTTGGTCTGTGAAGTCAGTCAGTGAGAGGCCAATAAGCGGATGAACATCTGAGCACCACCAGTTGTCTCCACTGACTGTCACTGTGGTGGCCGTGGTGTTAGCTGCAGGCAGAACGGGGAGTGAGATAGAGGCAAGGAGAGAAAGAGATCCATTGAAGATTTGAAGGAAGAGAAAAAATATTGGAGGAATGGAAGATGCCAGCTACACCAAGCAAGCGGAGGCTACCGGGCATATTCACCAGTGAACAAGACCTATGGACATATTGAAGTGACTTACTTGGATCGCAGGTGGGGAAACCGTCAACTGTTGTGCTTTGAACGTGGTTGGGAGGGCAAATGCAAGAGTAAGAGCCCTTGCCATCGTTGATGCATGCTCCCACGTAGCAGGGGTTCTTGAAGTATGACCCACACACGTCCACTGCCACACGCGTATCGAGGAGGCAGATAGTACAGAGTGTTAAGACAAGCATGGTTACTATGATGAAAGTGAGGGGAAATATTGGGGAATAAAAAGGGGTATAAGGTCTGCACACTCCCAGCCACCTCTGGGGGACCTCTAACATACATTGGACACAGGCAATAGCATGTAGAGCACAAGGATCTTAGAGGAGTCCTGTTCGCTCACCTCATTGCCCACACTCTCTGTGGGACAATCTGCATATATTTGAAAACTACTGCGTGCTACAATAGCACGACATACTTTAGTGTTAGATCAAATTACATGCCCTTCCACTCACCCTTTAACTTGCCACTGATCTTACCATAAGCACATGTGGAGCCATTTCCATTTGCAACTTCCACAAAAGGCTGCACAGTAGCGGTGGGAATATTGCAGGTGCAGTTATTGCTGCTTGCTGTCGTCCCCAGGCACTGGAACCTGCCACACGGGTTCATGCTGGGCTGCAAATCCCCATCGCCCTTGTAGCTCCTTTCTCCGCAGGGGTCCCCTGGAACTGGAAGGTGTTAAAGAGGATACACTTGAAGTACATAATAATGATGGAGGTTACAGCAGACACTTAGAGCAGACAAACAAGCCTGGAGGAAAGAGACGAGGCAGCTCATGCCACTTTGCTAAGCACCACAGTAACAGGTGCGTTTGTGCTTACCAAGCTTGACGCTATGATTCACCTCTAGTGAACAAAATTTCGGCTTTCAGCTTCCACGCACACTGTTCATGTGCTAATATGTTCCATATCTAAGCCAGTCCTACCTAACCCATTCCTTCTCTACATTCTTTCCTGCCTCATTTTAGAATCCCACCTTTACAACCGTAGTCCTCATTCTTCTACTGAATCTGCTCAGTAGCTGCTTCTTTTAATGCTCTTCCTGCATGTTCTCTTCGTCTGTTCACATTCGACCTAATACTCTTCCATTTGCCTCTGTTGCTGCTTGCCCGCATTTACTTTGAGTTTTCTAGGGCCATAGCTATACTACTTTATTCATGAGTCGTATGTATCTGTTTACAATATCGTATTGTAGAACTTAGGGGTTGGAATATGCTAGTATATGGTGCTCTCCGAGTGAGCTTATCAAGAGCTGGTCACCAGAGATTTGGTCTCTTCGCGAACCAGTTTGGACTTTAATGGTATAAAACCGAACCAGTTCAGTTTGGTACCCTGCTCATCCCAAGACACTAGAAATGTCTCTCAAATTACTCAAAGATTTGACGGTTGAATATCTGACGGAGTGACTACATGAGAGTAACATTACCAAATTGAGTCCTCTCAGATGTTATAAGTCATACCAGCGGCCCTAGAGAAACAAAGGCGGTTTTGGCAAGAGAGGAGAGCAAGCAACCATGGCTTGCAGCAGAGGGTAGGCAGCACGGACCACATACAGAGGTACATGCACCTTGCCTGGCAGATAAGGCTCACCTCGCCCATGATAGTGTTCAGATATGGCCCGCTTTTGACAATGGGGTAGATGCCTTACTCTTTACAATGGGGTAGATGCCAGGCAGCACGTTGATGCCACACACGCCATCCCCTCCCTGAATGTCCATGCGCATGTGGCCCTTGTTGCCCCAATCCTCTCCCCACGAGTTGCGGATGATCCAAAACGGAGGAGCAATGCGGTTCTGGCTGCCATCATTTCTTGTAATGAAGTAGCCAATAACGAGTACAACATGGTTGAGATTGCCTGTGTAGCAACCAGGATCCTGGTATTTAAAGGTCTGGAGTGAGATGAGGGCAGAACATTCAGAAAGGGGGAGTTCAACCAGAACAGGTCAGACAGGTGTGTGTGAAGCTGAAAAAGGCGGATCCAGCATTCTAAAGTGATGGGACTCGTCTACCATCCAGGTGACACAAGCAACCACACACTTAACACGGTAGCCACCAAAGTGAGCGAAAGGTGCAGCAACTCACCCCATCATACCGCATGAAGGTTGGAGATGCCTCGATGTGAACCAACACTGGCTGCCGCTGCACTGCCAGCATGAGACCCACATACCCCTTGAACTGCGCTCGCTCAAACGCCTGCACCGGGTATGTAGTTGCCTGGGGCCGCGACATTGCAGCATTGTTCGATGGGAAGAGGTGGGGTTGGGTTGGGGTTTGGGGTGAGATTGGGGTGGGAAAGGGGAGGTTTGAAGAAGTTCTGAAACCAGGGAAGGGTACACTCGTCCCTCATGAGAAGGGACAAGCAAAAAAAAGCAAGGCAAGCTATGAGCAACACAACGATAAACCTTCCACCACGTCAGACGATGCCTCAGTAGATCAGCAACGAATTTCTGGGATCAGACACCGATGAGAAACCTGTATAAGTTTCCATTCCGGATTCTGAAACATAGACTTGCCAAGCTGGTTGGATGAGTTGCATTCGTTACCATTCCGGATTCTGAAACGGCGAAGCAAGAAAAGTAATTTGCCCTCCCCAAAGCTGACACCAATATATCTTTCATGAATTTATCCCACCTCCCATGTTACATACCATATCATACCACGACCTCGTGCTGCTGGCCCTACCGGGTCGCTGGCCCCTGTGAGCCCACTGGTGGCATCAAGTGCCACAAGCTTCTCAAAGGCCTGCGTGGGGGAGCCGCCAGCGGAGCACTTGTCAGAGTCGGAGAGCCCCATGAGCGCAAAGAGCGCCTCCACAGCCAGCCGGGGAGCGCTCTGCTGCTTTGCAATGCCGTATGCCGCCTCCACACTCGCCACCACCGCATACGCCCAGCACGCATCTGAGAGGAAGGCGACGGTGAAGCAAGGTGAAGCTTGCAATAAGGATGCAGTGATGAAGATAGGCTGCACATTTCATGTATTTGGGCTACGATTTTATGGTAAGAGGGGTGAAGTGTAGATTCGACAACTTAATCAATCCAGTTTCCTCACAGTTTGAATGGATTCTCATGGAGTTGTGTTCCAATCCCCCCTTCTCCATTTAATTGCTCTTGATGTGCCGTACTTCAGACTGTGTGCCTTCTATGTAATCGTTCATTGGCATCTGCCGCATGAACGCGGTACAGACTACAATAATCAGTGAGAATCTCCACATTAGAGTAAATAAGGAATGACAAGATTTATAGTTAACGAGCTTGTTGTTGCAGTCGATCAGTAAACAGCAACAGCAAAATGGATTGGAAAGCAGCTCAGATACTGACGTGGACTCATGATTCTGTTTTCACTCACTGCAGTCATTTTGGTTCTTGACAGGCCAGTTGAGGAAGGGCACGGAGTCCCACGTGTGGAAATCACGAATGCTCCACGAGTCCGCTCTGGTGGCAGACAGCTTGAAGTCCGCACTCACATAGCGCGAAAAGGGACTGGCTCGAGATGGCGCAAATGTGGCCTCTGACAGTGAGAGGCCAAGGGCTGTTTCGGGCAGCAAGGGTTGGACATGTACAGATATGTGGATGGAGGTAGTAGTTGATGGTGCGGTTAAGAAATAATAATTGAGTCGGTTAATAATGGAGGTCAAGGATTCTTACGTACATCAGTAATGAACTGGAAAGAATCGACGGCATCCCCCAATGGGATGGGTTCAATTATCCATTCGGTTAAATTATTCAGATGATCACAATAGGGTAAGGTTCGAATATTGGTGCAATCCACCTCACAAACTAAAGCGACACCAAATCAGGGTATAAAGTACGAGTACACAGGTTGACATTGAAGTCAATCTCTAACAACCCCTCAATCTCTAGCATCCTAGAGCTAACGAGGTAGTGATGAGCGGCACGGCCAAGGGCGCTGTTGAATAGGCAAGCAATAAGCTACAAAAATGGGCAAGTGCTCCCAACCGGGCAACCAGTGCTGCAGACAGGGTAGTGACTACCATCAGCTACCATCAGCTCTTTGAGAGTTTATCCTAAAGCCCCCATTCATTTGACTTCCCTAGTGACCTAGAGTGGTAGCCAGTTAAGATTATTCGGTGGTAGTTCTGCACATAGTGCACTAACAACGGACCACAACGGCGTGGTTGGAAGATGGATGCTGTTCGGTACACGCCAGTATATATATATATATATATATATATATTCTGCAGGTTGCCACTAATCATTATAGGCTCTGGTTCCCACATGTCAGGGAGCTCACCTTGCTCATTGGACTGGACTGGCTTGGGTAAAGGAGCGCCTGTGGAGAGAGACACAAGAAGAAAGAGAAGCACTAAAGCCATAAAGCACTATGAAAGGTGCCATCATCATCATCAATACACAGCAGAAAAACTGAAATAAACACCCAATCCTACTGTATTGCTCATTAGGCATGAGCAACGCTCAAACCCGAATTGGTTCACGATGAACAAAGTCAAACCAGAATGCCGAAATATCTCAGCTTTGAAGGAATTAACGCGTAAGAGAAGAAGTGACCGTGCAACCGAGCTGGATTACTGAGGGGTGCTAGGAATGAAGAGAGAAGGGAATAGGGGCTCGAACACCCCTTCTGAACCCTAGAAGCTGTAAGTACCAATAGTTAACCACCACCACCACCACCACCGCCGCCGCCGCCGCTACAATTGCCGCCGCCACCACCACCACCACCCCACCACCACCATCACCACCACCACCCGCACCGCACCCATCATCAAGGCAGTTACCATCACCCCACCTGCCGAAATAACCTTGCCTGTTTGCACAGCGGAGGAGTAAATGCCTTGCAGCTGGAAGGGCTTCACAGTGGTGGACGCCACAAAACCAAATGAGAACGCCGTCTGCTTCACTCCAGGCTGCAGCACCGCACACAGCGACACCTTCCCCTGCAGCAGTGGCTCCTCTGGCTTCATCTTTGAATCCGCCAGGAACACTTGAATGCTGCTGGGATTCCTAGGCTCATAATCCACCCACACAGTGTATACACTGCCATCTGTGAAAGTGAATGGTGACACCTCCTTGACCAAGGGTTCCTCTGTGCCGTTGACACTCAGCACCACGTGCTGTTCACCCATATCAGTCGGAAGTGTGCTGAAGACAACAGCCATGCTCCTAGGTCCCACTCCTCTATACCCCACACCACCAGGCTTCCCCACCTTGGGCTTTGCTGCGATCACAAATGCAAAGCCGTTGGAACCGGCAGTACCAGACTGGGGCACGAGAGCAAAGGTGAAGTGTACTTTGAAGGCCAACTCTAAGCCGCATCCTGAGGTCACACCAGGAAGGTACAGAAACAGAGCCACTGGCTTTGCCACGAACTTCCCCACCGTTTCCTTCTTCTTTCCCTTGGTGAGAATCGCGAATGGCGGGAGAATGCTCCTTGGGGGAGCTGGAGAGTGGAAGGGTGGGAGTGGAGGAGCAATGGAATGTGTGTGTTATGCTGTGCAAACCAGATCACTTGGTCAAAACCATGTGAAGATTACTAAGTTAATCTTGTCTGCGTGTCACCCCTAATTCAACAAGCTCAACAACCATGGATAACCTGGGGAGCATGCAGCAAAGCTTGGGCTCAACCGATATATGCAAGTAAGAAAATAGAGGATGGCTACGAAGTGCATAAGGGAAGGAGCACAAAGACTGTGAAGTCTAATGTGTGAAAAGAATTGAACCATTAGATTGATTAGAAAGTTGAACAAGCAAACATAGGCTTGAGAAGTGGGAGAAGGAAGGGTTGGAGAAGAAAGGGTTGGAGAAGGAAGAAGGGGAGGTACACTAGATGGAGTGGACAAATCAATGGCCCATTGGGTAGAATTGGCAACACTTGGGGAAGTGTTGCTAACCCAATGGCCCACTGGGTTGGTTTGACAACACTTGGGGGAAGGTTGCCAACTTGTAGCAAGTGGATTGGGTTGGCAACTTCTTGGGAAGTTGTTGCCAACCTGTGGCCAAAATGGGTTGAGTTGGCAACTTCCACCAAGGACCAGATGGTTGCAACTTGGGGGCTTCACCACAATTGGGTTGGATTGACACCCCAACTGCAAGACTACACCCAATGTTGGGTGTAGTCCCAACCAAACTGTACACCGCACTTGGTGTACAGTCACAAACTTAGCATGCTAGAACGTATAAACATAATGCTCTGAGAGAATGTTCCAGTCGCTTATCACCTCCTGGAATACAGTTGATTCTTCCAAGAGGCAAGAATCCTGCACCACACAAGCACGTTGGCACCAAGCTGGGTCCGTCTGGGTAGCACAAGCCGCGACCACCACAGGCAGCAGTGGTTGGAGAGATGCCACAAAACGCCATGCACTGTGCTGCGGGCCGCTGTAACTCAGGAACGCAGTTTTTGCTTGGTGTAAAGCAGTTGGCAGCGATGGAGTGTCTCTTGCAGTCTGCTGCGAGCACAACACCCGACAGGTAGTTGTCGGACAGGTCCACTCGGATGGGCGGGAGATTCACCAGGGGGCCTGTGAGGTAGTTGCGGAAGAGAGCACTGCCGGGGGGAGGGTAGGAAAATCAAGATAGAAGAAGAGGATAATGGGAAGAGGGGTCAACAGAGAGCATTGGTACAGAATAGCATCTAGAGGAGAAATGGCAAATAGAAGAGGACCAGAAACTGGAGTACATACTGCTAGATATTGACTTTTGTACTTAAACCTTTTATGTCCTAGCTCTGTGTAGTTGGGTTCTGTTGTGTTGTGATTGTGAGGATGCTGATTGCAATGGGGATAGACAGTGAGTTGATTGGTTCAGCTTACGACAATGACATGGATGAGCTAAACGAGGAGCAATGAGGCACGGAGGCCTCCCACTACACAAAAGTTAATAAGAGCGCCTTGCCAATCGCCTGGAATCTGAACCCATCAGGCACTCAAATCATGGGTTCTAGACAGCAACGTGGCTTGAATCTCAGCACAGAGGTGTTTGCCAGAGTCAGCACTTTTTGCATGTCTGCAAACAGACCGTTTTGAGTCGACTCAAAAGTCACAGTACAGAATGTGGTCACAATCACACAATCACGTGACTCTGGTCACATGCATACTACTTGTCACAAAGGATCAGGCTAAGTTAGCTGGAGTCAAAACCGCACCTGGTGAGAAGCTGGCAGAAGCTGGCCATGAAGGATCTTGGTAAGCTGACGAAATATTTGGGCATGACAATCACACATGATCGTATGGCTCGCACCGTCACCATCTCGCAGAAGTTTTGCAGGAGCAATGTTCTGGAGCGTTCGGGATGCTGGAAGCAACACCGATGCATACCCCACTCTCTCTGCAGCACCAGCTCACTGCACCCCCCATCCCCTCGCCTAAGCCATGCGACGAGCCGTATCCTGCTCGTCGGATCCTGATGTACGCGATGATGTGCACTTGGCCAGACTTGGCCTACCTAGTCAATGTACTCCCTTGCTATGTTGCATCTGACCGCTTCACCTGCCAACACTGGTCTGCAGCCAAGCAAATTCTTCGCTACCTTTAAGCTACACAGGATTATGTACTCACACTGGAGGGTTCCTCACCCGTTCGCCTTGAGGAGTACAGTGACTACTTGTGGGCTGATGACCAGAGTGATAGACGCTCATGTTATTTCTTTACTCTTGGCTGTGGGGTTGTGAGCCTGCACTCCACTCGTTCGCCCTCAATCCTGTGAAGAAGGGCTGTACGCCGGGACCATGGTTGCCCAGGAGGCCCGTTGGCTTTACTTCCAGCTTGTTGAACTCGGGTATCCTCAACCAGCTCCCGCGTTTTGGTGTGACAACAAGAGCACCATTCAACCCACGATAGACGCATTGGTCTATTTTGGTGGCCGATCCGACCTAAGCCGAACATTTCAACCCAAACTAACATGACCCGTCAACGAGTCGGATCGACCCTTGCTGACAGATCGACCGGACCCTTAACTTTCCATATTACGGGTCGACCCAAACCAACTGGGGCCAGAATACCAAGTCAGGTCCGGTCAACACAACATGCAGGTCAATCTGCCCATGTCTATCTACGCGGCGCTTCGTCGTTGGGCTACAGCCCGTCGCCAAGCATCTGCGCGCTGCACCTGATCGGGCTGCTGATTGTCTCCTTATCGGCGCAGCAGAACAGGGGATATCACGAGGAAAGCGGATCCCAGCAGCTAGGCTAAACCCGGAATGTAGAGAAGGGGAAACGGGGGAGGGGGAAGGGGAGTGTGGTGGCGAGGATGCAAACTCGTTGCACATGGGCTCACAGGTAGACACGAACATAGAACCAGACCCGGAACAGTTCACCCTCCTGATTCAGGACGAAATACAGAAGTTTGACTCGAAACCAGGTTTTAACATGAGGGCTTAACGTTAGAACCGTGAGCTGTTCAGGCCGTTTCAACAGAAAAAAAGGTAGTCCGGTTCGGTTCGACTAGCACTGCCAGTTCGACCCAAAGCGGTTTGGGTCCACTATTCGCTAATGCCTCACAGAATTCGCAGGTTTGTGAGGTAGCCTATTGCAGTGGGAATCGTGCCAGAGAGTTGATTGGTAGCAAGATATATGCAAGGATGAGCATGAACGGGTGTGCAAAGAAGATGCACGAAACATGATAGGTAATGCGATGGACATTGTTTGTGGTGGGGTGAGATGTGTGTGCTGACAGTGCCAACCAGGGGAAGGATGGAGACATGAGAAAGACGAGTTCTATGCCTGTCAGGCATGCATACAATGACCACGGGCAAGAGAGCAGCGGGAAAGGGGAGGGTTCAGGCGAAATCAAGATAGGACAAGTGGTCAGCGGAGCGGAGCTGATGCAAGTGGATATGAAGGAAGAGGGGAAAATAGAGTACATGGGCGTTGAAAGGAGGAGAAACGACAGGGAGTAGAGAAGAGAAGAACCTGGAGTACAGCCAAGCGAAGGCCTTGTTGGGGGCTTACAGAGTGTTCAGTTTTGCAAGGTTGCCGATTGCAGCAGGAATTGTGCCAGTGAGCTGATTGGAAGAAAGTGATCTGCAACAATGAGTATGATATGAAGGGTATGCGGTAGATATAGGAAGCTCAAGTTTGCATTGCAACGAGTGACGGATAGAAGCAAGGAAGCAACTCCATGGAAATCGAAATCCCTCAGAATGCAACAGAGGCATGAAACGCAGTCCGTGGGATGTGTGCTGACACTGGCAGAGGATAGGTGGGGGCAGAAGAAATGCCCGGAATGTAGATAGGAAATAAGGACAAGGAAGGAATGAGGAAGGATGGAGGGATGATGCATTCAGGGCTGTGAATGGAGGAAGTATGGAAGGATTTTGAGGTTCTAGGTCTGGAAAAATCGGAAGGTTAGAGTACGAATGGACGAGCAACACAAAGGGATGCACAAGAGACATCAAGAGGGACAAGCAAGGAGCAAGGACGAAACGGAGCAGAAAGGCATCATGCTGGGAAAACGGATTGAAAAAGTGCCTTGGTGATTGCCCAGAATCTGACACCAGCAGGCACTCGTACCCCTTACCACCTAGACAGGAGTGTGACTTCACTCTCCCTTGCCAACCAGCACACATGTGAAAGCAAGAATTGTGTCAGACTCAGTTCACTGTTTCTGCATGTCTGCAGACAGACACTCTAATGTGTGGCCATCCCACTACTAGTAACGAGACCACAGGATGCAGCAAAGGAGAGGGTGGTGATCAACGGAGCATGGATCAGGACTAGCATCAACAGGAGGAGAAATGGTGGAAAGTAGAGAGGGGAACAAACTGGAGTACAGCCAAGCAAAGGCCTTTCAGGGGGCTTACAGATAAGTCAGGTTTGCAAAGTTCCCCATTGATGAAGGAATTGTGCCAGTGAGTTGATTGCTACCAAGATCTCTGGCACGATGGACATGAATGCACATGCGGTAGACACAGGAAGCTCAATGTTGCATGGCAGGAAGCAGCGGATTGGAGCAAGCAGATCAATTGGATGGCGAAATCCCTGATAATGCAACAGGTTAGTATGGCTCAACGGACAAGCGAACCTCTCCCAGCGGAATCGCTGCCCAGAGGCAAAAGAACTAAACCCTCTTGGGAATGGCATGCAATTTTTGTCAGCATCAACCCTAAACACCTTGCCGCATGGAGGTTAGGGTTGATGCCGACAAAGATGCATGCCTTTCC